TGCAAAGCATGCAAGCTGAGAATGGAGTCAGTGCCCTTAGTCCCCCTACTCTGCGGTTCCCAACAGCCATTCCATATCCTTCTTTGATAAGGCAATGTTAAAAAAAACAAAAAACAAACAAAAAAAGGCATTCATTTAAAGTAAAATTTCAGGCTGGGTGCAATGGCTTGTGCCTGTAATCCCAGCACTTTGAGAGGTGGGTGGATCACTTGAGGTCAGGAGTTCGAGACCAGCCTGGCCAACGTGGTGAAACCCCATCTCTATCAAAAATACAAAAATGAGCCGGGCGTGGTGCCGCGCACCTGTAATCCCAGCTATTCAGGAGGCTGAGGCAGGAAACTCACTTGAACCCGGGAGGCAGAGGTTGCAATGAGCTGAGATCGCACCACTGTACTCCAGCCTGGGTGACAGAGGGAGACTCCATCTCAAAACAAAAAGCTGAAATTTCAGTCAATTAATACTATAGGTGGTGTAGTATTATACCACTCTGGGGTAAAAATCAGACAGGAAGCTCTAAAATGCCTAACAAGGGGGAAACACTGCAACGGAGGTAATGTAAATGAAATGCATAGCACGGGGCCGGGCACAGAGTAAGCGCTCAATACGGGAACTATTAATATTCCCACCATCATCGTTATTGCTATCTATGGCTGTCAATCTGCTTTCACCATCTGGTCACTATGGGTACGGGAAGAAAATTCAGTTTTCTGCCCCATCTCCACAAGTAGATGCAGGAGGACCTGCCCACAGTCACCACACAAATCCACCGAGCTCATACATCCTTATTTTCAAAGTCAATCCCCTCACCCACGTGGACACTAGCACCTCTTAAATTAGGGTCCAGGCACAGTGGCTCACACCTGTAATCCTAGCACTTTGGGAGGCCAAAGTGGAAGGACTGAGGGCCCAGAGGTTCAAGACCAGTCTGGATAACACAGCAAGACCACATGTTTAAAAAAATTAGCAGCTGGGTATGGTGGCTCATGTCTGTAATCCCAGCACTTTGGGAGGCTGAGGCGGGCAAATCACCTGAGATCAGGAGTTCGAGATCAGCCTGGCCAACATGGTGAAACCCTGTCTCTACTAAAATTACAAAAATTCGCTGGGCATGGTGACACATGCCTGTAATCGCAGCTACTCGGGAGGCTGAGGCAGGAGAATCACTTGAACCCAGGAGGCAGAGGTTGCAGTGAGCCAAGACCATGCCACTATACTCCAGCCTTGGCGACAAGAGCAAAACTCCATCTCAAAAAAAAAAAAAAAAAAAATTAGCTGGGTGTGGTGGCTCAAGTCTGTGGTCCCAGCTACTCAGGGGGCTGAGGTGGGAGGCTCATTTGAGCCCAGGAGTTTGAGGCTGCAGTGAGCCCTGATTCCACCACTGTACTCCAGCCTGGGTGACAGAGCAAGACCTTGTTTCAAAAAAATAAATAAATTAGGGAATTTTGGCCAGGCATGGTGGCTCATGCCTGTAATCCCAGCACTTTGGGAGGCTGACGCAGGTGGATCGCTTGAGCCCAGAGTTTAAGACCAGCCTGCCCAACATGGTGAAACCCCGTCTCTACAAAAATATACAAAAATTAGCCAGGGCATGGTAGTAGTTGCCTATAGTCCCCGCTTGTGTTTTTTCTGGAGGATGAGGCAGGGTGGATTTGCTTGAACTGGCAGGTCAGATTACAGTGAGCGTGTAATCACCACTACTGCCACTCAGCCTCGTGCTACAGGAGCGAGACCACTGTCTCAAAAAAGAACACGGACGGGCCAGGCGCGGTGGCTCAAGCCGTAATCCCAGCACTGTTGGGGAGGCCAAGGGGGCGGATCACAAGGGTCAGGAGAGATCCGAGTACCATTCTCGGCTAACACGGTGGAACCCCGTCTCTACTAAAAATACAAAAAACTAGCTTTTTGTTAGGCGAGGTGGCGGCGGCCTGTATCACTACTCCGGGAGGCTGACGGCAGGAGAATGGGTAACCCGGGAGGCGGAGCTTGCGTGGAGCTGAGATCCCGGCCCTGCGCACTCCGCCTGGGGCGACAGAGCGAGACTCCATCTCAAAAAAAAAAAAAATAAAAATAAATAATTAAAAACGACAAACACACGAACACACATACATCCGAAGGTTAGGGGACTTTTAATGGGACCTCAGCACTGATAAGCCAGCTCAGACTCACTAAGCTGACTTCACAGAGTGGATTCTGAAGGGGTTGGGAGCAAATCCCAAGCTTACCTCCCTCTACCCAAAAGACTGCCTGGCTGGTGCTTACCTGAGAGATGGAAGTTCCTGGAAGGGCGGCCCCGCAGATGCCTCCCCAGGCCCTACAGAGGCCTCGGGCCAGTAGGGTGGCCTGGACCCAGCTCATGCCTCTGCTTGTCAGACAATCACCTGGCCCAAAGAGAAGATTCAGCATTAGTCTGGCAACTTACCCGCTAACAGATGCAAGGGCCCCGCAGGGTTGAGGGCACAATCCAGATTATGCGGTTAACTCACCAGCCCCGATGTTTACCTTACCCAAGAAATGGGCTCAGATGACTCAAAGACTTTGTCCATGGAACAGCACCACCAACCCTGCTGCCCCAGGGGCGTGATCAAAGCTCAGTACAGCCTCCAACTCCTGGGCTCAAGTGATCCTCCAGCCCCAGAGCGTCGAGAAGCTGGGACTACAGATGCGTGCCACCATGCCCAGCTAATTTGAAAATAGTTTGCAGAGACCCAGGGTCTTGCTGTGTTGCCCAGGCTGGTCTTGAACTCCTGGCTTCAAGTGATCCTCCCACCACTGTCTCCCAAAGTGCTGGGATCACAGGTGTGAGCCACCACTCCTAGCCAGTACAGTCTAATTTTATAAAATGTGTGTCACTCCAACAAGAATCCCTGTATCTGGCCAGGTGCAGTGGCTCACGCCTGTAATCCCAACACTTGGGGAGGCTGAGGCGGGCAGATCACCTGAAGTCGGGAGTTCGAGACCAGCCTGACCAACATGGAGAAACTGCATCACTACTAAAAATACAAAAAATCAGCCCAGCATGGTGGTGCATGCCTGTAATTCCAGCTACTTGGGAGGCTGAGGTAGGAAAATCGCTTGATCCCGGGAGGCAGAGGTTGCAGTGAGCTGAGATGATGCCATTGCACCCCAGCCTAGGGAAAAACAGCGAAACTCCATCTCCAAAAGAAAGAAATTAAATCAGTATTTAATTTCCCTTCACTCCCAACCCCAGGAAACCACTCATCCACTGTCTCTATAGATCCCTACGCTGGGCATTTCATACAAATGGAATCACAAGTGCTCCTTTATGACTGGTTTCCTTCACTTGACACGTTTTGTTTTGTTTTGGTTTTGGTTTTTTTTGAGATGGAGTCTCGCTCTGTCACCCAGGCTGGAGTGCAATATCTCGGCTCACTGCAACCTCCATCTCCCAGGTTCAAGCGATTCATTCCCATGCCTCAGCATCCCGAGTAGCTGGGATTACAGGAGCATGCCACCGCACCCGGCTAATTTTTGTATTTTTAGTAGAGACAGGGTTTATCATGTTGGCCGGGCTGGTCTTGAACTCCTGACCTCAAGTGATCCGCCAGCCTCAGCCTCCCCAAGTGCTGGGATTACAGGCGTGAGCCACCGCGCCTGGCCCACTGACATGTTTTCAAGGTTCCTGCATCGATTTTTTAAAAATTAATTTATTTCTTTTAGACAGGATCTTGCTTTGTTTCCCAGGCTGGAGTGCAGTGGCACAATCTTGGCTCACTGCAACCTGCTTTCCAGGCTCATGATTCTCCTGCCTCAGCTTCCTGAGTAGCTGGGACTATAGGTGTATGTCACTGCACCCAGCTAATTTATAGATTTTTTTGTAGAGATGGGGTTTTACCATGTTGCCAAGCTGGTCTCAAACTCCTGACGTTGTGATCCACCTGCCTCGGCCTCCCAAAGTGCTGGGATTACAGTCGTGAGCCACCGCACCTGGCCTTTTTTTCTGTTTTTGTTTTTTGAGATGGAGTTTCGCTCTTGTTGCCCAGGCTGGAGTGCAATGGCACGATCTCGGCTCACCACAACCTCTGACTCTCGGGTTCAATCGATTCTCCTGCCTCAGCCTCCTGAGTAGCTGGGATTACAGGCATCCACCACCACTCTCAGCTAGTTTTCGTATTTTTAGTAGAGATGGGGTTTCTCCATGTTGGCCAGGCTGGTCCTGAACTCCCAACCTCAGGTGATCCACCCACCTTGGCATCCCAAAGTGCTAGGATTACAGTCCTGCCCGGCCAATTCCCTTCTTTTTGGAATGGAATATAACCAGGTTTTGTAAGGCTATAACCATATTTTATTTATGCATTCATCAATTGATGGACATTTGGAGTTGTTTGCCAAATGTTTTTGACTGTTATAACTACTACTGCCATGAACATTCGTGTAGAAGTTTTATGTGAACATATGTTTATACTTCTCTTGGGTATATACTTAGGAGTCGAACTGCTGAGACATATGGTAACTACATGTTTAACAGTTTGAGGAACTGCCAGACTGTTTTTGGGGATGACTGCACCATTTCATATTCCCATCGACAATGTACAGTTGACCCTTCTTCAACAGAGGTTTGAACACCGTGAGTCCATTTATACGTGGATTTTTTTTTTCCTCAGTAAAAGTTATGGCTGCACATGGTGGCTCACGCCTGTAATCCCAGCACTTTGGGAGGTCGAGGCAGGCAGATCACCTGAGGCCAGGAGTTCGAAAGCAGCCTGGCCAACATGGGAGAGACCCCATCTCTACTAAAAAAAAAAAAATACAAAAATTAGCCTGGCATGGGGACACACTCCTGCAGTCCCCAACTACTCAGGAGGCTGAGGCAGGAGAATCACTTGAACCCAGGAGGCAGAGGCTGCAGGGGGCTGAGATCGTGCCACTGCACTCCAGCCTGGGCGACAGAGCAAGACTCCGTCTGAAAAATAAGACCAGGTGTGGTGGCTCACACCTGTAATCCCAGCACTTTGGGAGGCTAGGCAGGAGAATCACTTAAGGTCAGGAGTTCAAGACCAGCATGGCCAACGTGGCAAAAGCCCATCTCTACTAAAAATACATAAATTAGCCAGGCTCCTTTTGCGGGTGGCGGCAAGTGTGGAGAGGATGCCATGAAAACCTCGGGCACACTACAAGAGTACAAGGTGGTGGGTCGCTGCCTGCCCACCCCCAAATGCCATACACCGCCCCTCTACCATATGCAAATCTTTGTGCCTAATCATGTCGTCGCCAAGTCCCGCTCTAGTACTTCGCATCTCAGTTAAAGAGATGAAGAAGTCTTCAGGGGAGACTGTCTACTGTGGGCAGGCATTTGAGAAGCGCCCCCTGCGGGTGAAGAACTTCAGCATCTGGCTGCGCCATGACTCCCGGAGCGGCACCCACAACATGTACCGGGAATACCGGAAGCTGACCACCAGGGGCGCTGTCACCCACCGCGACCGAGACATGGGCGCCTGGCACCGCACCTGGGCCCCCTCCATCCAGATCATGAAGGGAGAGGAGATCGCAGCCAGCAAGTGCCACCGGCACAGGACTCCAAGATCAGGTTCCCACTGCCCCAAAGGGTCCTGCGCCGTCAGCACAAGCCACGCTTCACCACCAAGAGGCCCAACACCTTCTAGGTGTAGGGCCCTCGCCCATGTGTGCCCCAGATAAACTCAGGAACGCCCCGGTAAAAAAAAAAAAAAAAAAAAAATTATTCAGACATGGTGGTGCGCGCCTGTAATCTCAACGACTCAGGAGGCTGAGCCGGGAGAATTGCTTGCGCCTGGGAGGCGATGTTACAGTGAGTTGAGATTGCGCCACTGCACTCCAGCCTGGTTGACCGTGTGAGACTCTGTTTCATATATAAATATTATAGAACAATAGGCGGGCGCGGTGGCCTTCATGCCGGTATCAGCACTTTGGAGCCAAGGTGTGGACACGGAGTCAGGAGATTGAGACATCCGCCTAACAAGTGAAACTCCGTCTCTGACTAACAATACACAAAATTAGACGGCTGTGCAGGGCGCCTGTAGTTCCAGCTACTCGGGGCTTTGAGGCAGGAGAAGCTGAAACCCGGAGCGAGCTTGCAAATGAGCCGAGGATCACGGCACGCATCCAGCCTGGGCAACAAGCAAGATCTGTCTTCAAAAAAAAAAAAAAAATATTTATAATATAACTATATTAATTAAAATATTGTAATCGCTCTTCCCTGCCGCCGCCATGTCGACAAACGGGGAGGGTGGAGGCGTTGGGTGGTTCAAGATCTTCACTTCACCCGTAACCACCACCCAGGCAAGGACAGGCA